CCTACATAGAAACATTATGAGTAATACAGGATCATCAGTAATGGGACTATTTTTCCTCTTCTGGTCTTTCCTCTGATGTGAAGTTTTCCTACCAGGGTTCGTCCCATTGACATAATCAGTTCTTTACTTTCTCTAACAATGCTCATGACCACAACATAAGTCATTTTTTATAAGGGCAGGCTCACAATAATTCAAATGAAGACTACAGTTCAAGTTGTTGTTCTTTTTCAGACTGTCAAACTCTCTAACTCTTACACACTGCCACCTCATTTTTTCCTGCAGTTTGAGATTGTCTCCCAGCACCTGGTGTTTGCCAACTGTATCCCACTCATCCTCAAGTTCTTCAACCAGAACATCATGTCCTATATCAGTGCCAAAAACAGGTGGGAGCATTTTCTCTTAAGCCCCCTTTTATAAAGAGATTGCAGCAAACTGCTGTTTTATTGACCTGTCGTCAAGAAGATGGCATTTTGGTTTATACTAAACTCAAAAAGTGTTCATGTGTTCATTTTTAGGAAGGCAATCTAGTGAAAATGACCAGATTAAAACAGAACTGAACTAACCTCTCTTCACACCACTGTAAACTGATCAGTCCTTTGCCACTTTCATGTGTTTTCATTGCAGTATATGTGTGCTGGACTTTCCGCACTGTGTGGTCCATGAGATGCCTGAGCTCACAGCTGAGAGCTTAGTGAGTTACAACACCTGTGTGACCTTTGTTAAATTAAAGTCAACTTGTAATGTAGCCTTCCTGGTGTCTTTATGACCTTGGAGTGCACGTGTGTTTTCAGGAAGCAGGAGACAGCAACCAGTTCTGTTGGAGGAACCTGTTTTCTTGTATCAACCTGCTGAGAATCCTGAATAAGCTGACCAAGTGGAAACACTCCAGAACCATGGTGAGTAATTCTACATCATGGCAAAACATTTTAGCCTTGGCATGAAGCTTTCCCCTTGCTCCACTGTAGAAAGTACTCACCCTAATACTCAATAGTAAATGGAATGTCTTGGTAAACTGGACACACAACAAGGTCTATAATCTGGGTGTCCCATCAAAAGCTGAGTGCACACCCTGTGGCCCAGCAGGCTTGTCGGCCCTTTGATGTGCAAAGAGAAAATAAAAAACTTCATTAGAAGCTGGCACAAATGCACATGTGTCATGTCCATGTTCACTAAAAAGCCTTTGACTAATCATTAATGTGTCACTTCTACTCTGACCCAAGCCAAGGTCAGTGTTTGCTGTCAGGAACATGGGTGTTTTATAGGTTGTGAGGAGAAAAAAATTGTTAAAATCTTTTTATAGGAACCATGCTACAAAACATATATTCTACCCACAGATAGATATATTGGTTCCCCTCTTTATCCCCATTCCCTTATTAGATGCTGGTGGTATTCAAGTCTGCCCCGATCCTGAAGAGAGCTCTGAAGGTGAAACAGGCCATGATGCAACTCTATGTTCTCAAGCTCCTTAAAATCCAGACCAAGTACCTGGGCCGCCAGTGGAGAAAGAGCAACATGAAGACCATGTCAGCCATCTACCAGAAGGTCCGCCACAGGCTCAACGACGACTGGGCCTATGGAAATGGTAAAGAGCAGTCTGCAGAACATGACTCATGAAAAAGTTTAAACTTTAAGCTGGGCTGGTATAGAAGTCAGGGTCACTGGAAAAGCAATTGATTTGTCACCTAACAGAGCAGAGAGAAGAAAAAGATTAGACATGCTTATCAGAGCTGTGAAATGATGCAAATTACACTTCTTTTAAATAATTTTTCAAATAATTTTTTAAAAACATAAGTCTCCTCTCATTCTAGATATCGATGCACGGCCCTGGGACTTCCAGGCAGAGGAGTGTGCCCTGCGAGAGAGCATTGAGAAATTCAACAGCCGCCGCTATGACAAGAACAAGAATGGAGACTTCACTCCAGTGGACAACTGCCTGCAGAGTGTGCTGGGGCAGCGTGTGGAGCTGCCTGAGGACTTCCACTACAGCTACGAGATGTGGCTGGAGAGAGAGGTGTTCTCTCAGTCAATCCAGTGGGAGGGGCTGCTGCAGAATCCGTGATGGGGGTTGGAGGATTGGTTAGAGGGCGGGGGCAGTGGAGAGGTCACATATCACATATGAGCCTGATGGACTAGTTTTAAGGTAGAGGAGAGGAGGAAAGACGAATGGGGTCATGTTGTGTTGGAAAGGAGGGGGAGGATAAAGAAAAAGCAACTGGAGCTAAAGAAGTCACCTCTCAGGCCATCCAGTGATGTGTGAAAACTGAAGAGTATATGGAGCAAAGTTGACAAGCAAATGGAGCTTCCTACTGTGAGCTCAGCACAAATAGATACCACACACACTTGACGCTAATGTGCCTATGACTACTGTGACTGTGAACACACAGGCAAGAACAGAGGTAGCAGTTCATAAGAAGCATTTGGTGTCATTGTAGCAGAAGACAAGGCCAGTTTTACTGCCCTCAATATTACACAAAACGTCAGTGTGTATGTCCTCATTTTTTAAATGTTGGTGCTCTTTTGGCTCCTTGGTGATGTTTAGCTATTTATTTGTATCACTGTGTGTCATTTTATGGAAAATAATTGTTTTTGAATAAAGATGTACATGTATTATTAATTTGATTTCTAATTAGTTTATATCTTTATTTTGCCACAGAGCCTGACTATTAATACTTTGTCAGTGACGGATTTGAAACTCTTTTCTTATGTATTTTCTAGGAAAAAGAAATTGAACTACAGTGTCACGCTGCTAGTTCAAATATTGATATTGGAGCCATCTCCTCTTATGGCAGTAAAAAAAGAAATGCACCAGCTGTTAAGTGTGTGGCTTGTTCATGAGAAAATGGTTATCTAAAAATGGGCAACTATAAGAGAGGATGATTCTTGAAGCACAAAACAGAATTTGCTTAAAGAATGGCATTCTGGGAAAGGTAGTAGTCACCTATTTGATCTCTTTTAAAATAGAAGTTTTATCTTATAACAGAATCCTTGTTATTCCAGAAATGGCAGATTCTCAGAAATTTCATTATCTTTCAACTCACAAATTTTTAATCACTGGTGTAATCCAGAATTTATTCATATACACTTATTGAACCTTTGCAATGATAAGAAAAGCAGAAATTTGGTTCAACCCACTGCCCAACAACAGCACAATAAGTAAACCACAGAGCTACATGTTGGTGGCCTTAGTGAGTACTTTGTAACGCTCACTTGGAAAAACACAGTTGTTACAACAATGGTGCTGTTTTTCTAGTTTGTCTTCACTGTACCTTATCATTCCTTCACCTGCCACTATCTACTATGACATGAGAGCTCTGAAGCATTTCCTGGAAATGTCTATTAAAGCACAGCAACAAGCACAGAAGACAAAAAAGTATGGTTACCTTTTTTCATATCATTGGTCCAGATTGTTATCAGCTCATCTTGATGGCTCATGTATTATCTTTATATAGAACTATAATTGTGACACTTAGTCTTGTGCTTCTTTGTAGAAATGTGCATGGGCTCTGTTTTGTTTTGAGTACATGTTCACACTTTAATATGGTATTTGTAATTGCTTTTTTTGTGTGATGATTCCAGCACAATTAGAAGTGTTAATTTTTTTTCTTCTTCAGGAAGGCAAAAATCTATGAAACTAATACTATAAAGATTCTCAGGTTAATGGACATAATATATAGCAAATGTTTTAAAAGCTTCCATGCCTCTATATAGCTCACTACCTGTAGAAAAGAATATACATTTATCATCACATTCTTAGACTGAAATTACACATGTGAAGCACCAAACATTCACTGCATACGCTGTACATTGTCACTCAAGTCAATAACTCATTGTGAGTTTTTGTTTACATCAGTTGTATTTCAAGTTCAAACGTACTATTTGTATCTTGTGCCAAATTTGAGTGCCATTTTCTATTTTTATTTTATTGCTATTGCAGGTTTTTCATTCACATTACCACTAAAGGTTTGCAATACAAAATGTTATTTTTACCCAAAAATTGTACAATCAATGAAAATTGTTGTTTCTTTATCGGGTACACTATTTTACCAAAAGTGTTAAGCATTGTATGGATGTTAGCACAGTATACAATGTATGTCTTTGTTGCACACATTTCTGTATAGTCTAGAGAAACGCTCAATATAGAATTTGTTCAGGGGTATGTGCAATTACAGATCCATAGAGGCATTATTAAATAAAATGACAAATTACAGTATTTGAGTCTCTGTTGTATTTGCATTATGACTGTGAACAGTTGTGATTGTTTTTTAAAGTAATTATTAATTAGCTGAGGGAGTCCTGCAGGGTGGATAACTGGTTCACATACACATACACACTCAAACATTGAAGGTCAAACGGACCACACACTCCCATCACATCACACACTTCCTCAGGTCAGTGTTCCAACAGTTCAAGCACAGTTGTTGTGGCTGGGGAGGTGAACATATGCCTATCTGTAGTGATGTAAAACTGCCCTATGTTTGTCCTTCACCCTACTTGCTGTACAGTTTTCACATGTCCAGAAGGAATTCTGTAGAATGCAATACTTAAAGGGAAAAAGTATTTTGTAATACACTTCATTTTAATATAGATATACAGCACAGTTTCATACAATAGTTCATGCATTGCAGTACAATAATGCTTGTTTTGCCTAAAAGTTTAGCTGCATTTTCAAGCCCAGTGCTGCTTTGCCGTGAAACTCTCCTGTCCAAACCAGTCCTTCTGTATTAGTGAATGCTCCTTCTCCTTCCAACCTAGAATTCAGATAAAATATGTAAAATGTACTCTACTTTGATGTACTTTAACTGTGCAGCAAAATAAATAAATACATACATTAAAATTAAATTATAAAACAAACAACTATCAAAATCTTGGATTTGAACATTTGCTTAAAATATCTCGTGTTTTATCCAACTTTGAAATTGATTAATTGTAAATTTAAAGGAAATATCAAGAATGTAGGGTTCAAGAGGTTAATATACACAACAATATAACAAATTGGTGTAGTACTAGATAAATTACTAATACTGTCATAACATGTCTGTTTCTGAACCAAGATACAGCACTTGCAGAATTTGCAGTAAATGACATACTGTACTGTAATGTCATATTAAGGCAGCCAAAACAAGGGCTGCAACCAAAAATGATTGATTTACTATCACATAAAATTCATTATTAAAATAGGTACTGGTTGATTACCTAATGGCTGCCTAATCAGTTAATCAAATAATGCATAATAGGAGCCTTGCTGCTGTGTTCTGGTCATATAAGATTCAAGATAAGATATAAAATTATAATCTGAAAAGCTGCACATAAAAATAGCTTTCAGCTGCTGTATAATCATGTAAAAACTCCAACAGGATGTGACACTTTTCACAAAGCATTAAAGGAATGACAGCAAGTGCCAGAAACTAGAAACTAATTGCTTTTACCTGTTCTTGTGAAAGTGACCTTTGTAAGTAGAACCATCTGGGAAGGTATACGTTCCTGTGCCATGGTACATGTTGTCTCTGAATTCTCCTTCATATAGTGCTCCAGAAGGATGTTGCAGGGTCCCTCTGCCATGCATCTGACAGAAGGACAGAGAGAATAACTGCATGCAACTTCTCACATCTTTGGTGAGAGAAGGAGCCAGGAGCATACATATTCAAATACATACTTTGTCCTCATGCCACTCTCCATTGTATATGACCCCACTTGGTGAAGTGTGTTTACCAGTGCCACTCCTCATGATCACCCCTGATTCAGATCTGCTGCACTCTCCTTCTGTGGAGAAGAGATGATAAGAGACACAGACCCATACATTTGGATGTTAAGGGTGTAAAGCTGCAGAAATATTTTGTTACCATATCTGTCTCCATTTGGGAAAATGTAGGATACCTTTATAGGTCCTTCTCCTGTAAACAAACAGACACATTTGCCTCAGGCACTTTAGGATAACTGTTAGATGAATACATACTTTTCCTAGGTGTGCAACTTCTCTATATATTAGCCAGAGGTATTTAAACAATGTCCTTCTTTCTGATCTGAAAGTGAAAATCGAACAAAATTAGACAGCAAACATCAGATAGAGACGGAGATGTGTGTGTGTACTGAAGTGTCAGAAATCACAATCACACCCCACCAGACATCCGTGACAGCTTCCCCCAGCGGACAGATGGCTGTCAGCTCCGACAGGAAACGCTGTGTGCCTGCCAATTTCTATGATGTGGCGAGTCGAACAATTAATTAAAAAGTTGTGACTATGACACAAGATAAATCTATGCTGTTTGTGTTCACTAAATCACCCAAAAATAACCAGTTCGCACCACTCTACAATAAGCTCTCAGCTCATGTGTTGTAGTAAGTCGACACCACGTCCTGTTACTATGGTTACATATTTGGTGCAGACATAGCTTTTAAAAAGGTGCTTTTAAAAATACCGCCACTCTTTTAATAAAACAGTTTACCTCTACATAATCCGAATTTAATTTAGTCATACGACCTTTAGATATTTTAATAATACCTTTACAAAGTATTGTGCATTTGCTTCCTCAAACGTTACCGGACACCGGAAAAGAAACTTTGAACTCTGAGTTTCGACCAATGAAAGAGATTCACGCTACTGCTGGTCTGTGCAACTGTATCAGGTTTGTTGTTACTTGTTAAAGTTTTTCAGGTCATGCTCTTTTATTCTGTATCGTTTATGATGTTATTTTTATATAAGTCTTTAGCATTTAACCTCTCAACTTTACTTGTGTGGAAGTTTTTCTCAACTGAGCTAGCTTGTTAAATCAGAAATGAGTGAGCCTGCTAGCTGTTAGCATGTTAGCTAGCCGAAGACTAAAATGACTGAGATACTAACCTACTCTCAGTGCACTACAACGTTATTTCTAATACAAGCTTTTTCTTTTTTTTTTTTTTACTTGCTAACAAAATGCACTGTCAGGCACCCGGCCCTAAACTTAACCTAAATGGTCATCGCCCTGGTTGGGTTGTTAGTCTGCATGTGATTGCACAATTGTAGCCACCAACACTGTGTGTCAGCCACCCTCTCATTGCTTGCACTTGAACTAAGGAGCCACCCCACATCTTGTAGCAACATCTTGCACTGCAGTGGATGTGCAGTAGCTGTGCACTGCTCTGCAACTAGCAATTCTCGGTGATGTACCCAGGATTACTGAGTTCTCCTAGTGTTTAGAAGGTTTATTCAAACAATGCATCTTATGGCTCTCTTCACAGATTGTTGGCTGCTATGATGGATATGGATTGAAGGTCTGACAGTGTTTTATACAATTCATGTGTTAGTGGTGATATTTTGAAGCTTTAAAATGTGGTAGCTGTGATCAAATTGTTCATGAATATTTTGACAGAAAAATGAATGCAAGGAGAAGAGGTGGGAAACCCAACAGAGGTGGAGGGAGGTTTAACAAACCTAGAGGAGGTGGAGGTGGTGGTGGTGGTGGCGGGCGAGGTGGAAGTAGGAAAGGAGGAGCTGGCCACTGGGATGACGATGATGATTTCACCCTTGATTTTGGACCCTCCCATTCCAGCAGGTATAAAGTTATAGTGAAGGAGTTAGTTATTTGATTTGAAAATGATCACTGTGCTTATTTCTTGCTAATATCTGTTTGCCTGACTTTGTCCCCAGACCTGGCAAAGGACGAGGTGGTGGTAGGAGTGCTAGTGGCACAGATGGAGGTAGAGGAAAGGGGGCTAGGGATCGAGACAGGGGTGACAGAGAGGATGGAAAAAGCAGCAGCAAGACTCTCCCAAGGTCCCTGGTGAGGACTAGAACATGTCTAAAGTTAGGTGATGGCATGAGACTAGAGGTGAGTGCCAAACCCTTGCAGAGGATCTTCATGACTAATGAGAACCAAGAACAACTCAAGGAACTGCTGCAGGATTTGCAGACCCAGGACATTGATGAGCCATATGAGTAAGTAGCTTTTACAAAATATATATGAAATATGCTACATCCCTTTATCTGTTAACAGAGACTAATTGGAATGCTACAAATAAACTCATGCCATCTTCTTTGTCTCAGTGAATCTGGTTCAGATTATTTGGGCAGAGGAGAAGATGAGGAAGAATATGATGAGCTGGATCACCGAGAAGAAGGCCAGTTTTGGGCCACTAGTGATGAGCCTGTGGAGAGAGCAGAGGGACCAGCATATGAGCCAGAGTCTGACGATGAACGGCCTCCTCCTGAACCTGTCTTCTCCCTATTTGCCATAGGAAAACTTTGCAGGTGAAGTTCAGACTTGTTTTCTTTTATTAGAGGTTTTGGCGTTGACAGTTATCCTAGCCAGTGGTTTTGCTGCTGTGCTGTCAAGAATAGGGCTGCTCAATAAATCATTTTGTGAGCATGATTTAGATCCCTGTGCAATCTCAGTCTTATGTGACAATAATTCTGCCGTGTTTGCATTAGCAGTGAGATCCCTCGCATCAAGCACTTCCTTTTCCTTGCTAAGCTGCATTGACCATTAACCATAATTAATAACTGCAAAGTGATTTATTTCTGCCTCAACTACTATTCTGCACTAGGTGTACAGAGCAGGCAGCGCAGCATTTGAAAAATAGTTGCAGGACAGCACAGAATATCTTTCACAATGTGAAACATGTTGGATTTGTTTTTGAATCAGTCTTCTCTTCCTGCCTAAAGCTCATCACATGATGTACTGCATTGCTGCTGTTGGTTAATGCCGCTTAGCAAAGAAAAGGGAGTGCTTGGTTTGTTGCAAGGCAGCTCCCTGTTAATGCAAACACAGCAGAATCATTGTCGTATGAGACTGAGAACGCACAGGGTCTAAATCATACTCACAAAACGATTTATCGTACAGCCCTAGTCAAGAACCTAAGGTTTGCTAGATATTTATCTTGTCCTCTATCCCTCTCTTTTCTTATCCATTCTCTCTGTAGATTTGGGTTTGATAGGGAGCGCAGCAAACAGGCCATGGAGTCTGGTGGAGGAGAGTTTGGGGCAACTTTGGAGCAACTCCTCCACCAGGTTTTCAGTGAGCGCTATGGCCAGATGGCAATTTCCCCTGATGGCCTTGAGCAGATGTCTATGGATGAATGCTTGATCCAGAGGCAGGAAGAGGCTCTGGCTCTGACTGCCATTTATGGTGAACGCTTTAGTGAGCGCATTGCCAATGCAGTCTGGACAGTAACCCTGGACTTGTCATTCCTCTCAGACATTGCTGTCAGGAACGCAGGGATGGCTGGGAGTTGCAGTGGTGGAGGATCTGTTAATATTCGTGATGTCTGCAAATTCTACTTGAAAGGACAAGGCTGCCGGTTTGGAGATAAATGCAAATTCAAACACCAACTTCCTACAAAAGGGAGGTCTGGGGCTGGTTCCCCAGACCTGAAGGGCCCGAGTCAGCCGGGATTCAGCAGCTATTCTCCTCCTGAGTATGAACTAGAGATCCGTTTTCCCAAAGGAAACCGTTACCCATTTCAGGCACCAATAGTTGCCTTTAGCACCAACGATGAGTCTGTTGGGGCTGCAGGGAGGCTCAATGTGAGTGAGAGATTATTTGGAGAGGCCTTGGCTGCAGCAAAGAGCAGTGAACCTGTTGTTTACACTCTGATCACCTTGTGTGAGGATGGTGCTACCATGAAGGAACTACTGGCTGCAAGTCATCACAAATACAGCACCCCACCAGCTGTTGTGGTTGTTCCTCCATCCTCTCTAGCCACACTAAAGAGTAAGAGTGTGAGGAGCACTGCCTCAGAGGAAGGCAGGAGTAGCATTACCAGTTGTAGTAATCACACCAAGAGCAGAAGGATTCCTCCACCCAACAACCAGAGACTCATAGATTGTAAGTCATTTTATGTACTTAATATTATGTACTTTTTCTTTATTGCCATTAGAGCTTAAAACTGTACATGTATTTATGTGTATCTAGTGAAAGAGACAGGAGAGGCAGAGGAGCTGGATGAGAGGGACAAGGAAGATGAGGCTGTTCCAGTCAAAAGTGAGAGTTACATCAGTCTGAGGAAGAAGATAGTAAATAAGCACAACCTGAAGATAGACAACCTACTGCAAGAAAATGGCAAGCTCTGCCGAGAGTTCCAGAAGAAACAGGTAAAAGAGGAAGGCTCTGATGGGCCGAAAAATAACATCTTCACACCTTCCATGTGTTCTTTACAACACTGTGTATGTATTGTAATGAAGTGCTTTTATTGCATCCTTCTTTTTGTAGTCATCCAGGCGTTTCCAGTCAATGCTGGAACAGAGGAAGAACCTGCCAGCTTGGCAGGAAAAAGAGAACATCCTAGACCGGTTGGATCGGTGTCAGGTGCTAGTGATCAGTGGGATGACAGGGTGAGTCATTTCAGCCTCATTTTGGTTGAAAGTAGTGACATTCACAAAGAGTTTTTTTTTTTTAAAGAAAAAATATTATTAGGTGATGTCTTAACTGTCAGGTAAACGGGAAACCTGGTTTCCTTAATCGGGGTAGGGGATTAGGGAAACCTGGTTTCCCCAGGTAAATATCTCCTGGAGAACACCAATTTCTCTGCCATGTATAGGCGTAACCAGGTTTCTAATCAGCTTTCTACAAGAGCACTTATGTGCATGTGACTGGAGAAAAACAGGAAGTTGTCATGGGCATAAACAGACTTATCAACATGGTGAGTAGTAGTAAGAGCAGCAGCTTGTTGGATGAATGTGATTTGTCTTCTATTTGTCATTATTAATGTCATGACTAACGGGACAGGTAATGTCAGGATTTGCAGGTGAAACATTGCTAAAGAGACCAAAATACCAGCTTGATTGATCAGGTCCATCTTTGGTTATTGGAGGATGCAGTCACATAATGACATTGGACTTTCCAATTGCAGACACACCTGAATAACATCTTTCTGCTTTCAGTGGGCTAGTTGGGGGGGACCTTAGAGCTTGCCGTGGATATAAACTCGTTCTGTCATAACCTGGTTTCTCTCAGTAACCTGTTAAGTGCATATAAATGCAATCATTGGGATGTATTTTAATGTTTATTTTCTAATGACTACTTTACAGGTGTGGTAAGACCACCCAGATTCCTCAGTTCATTCTGGATGCATCACTATGTGGTCCAGCGAAGCAGGTGGCCAACATTATCTGTACCCAGCCACGTCGCATCTCTGCTATCTCTGTAGCCCAGAGAGTGGCGCAGGAGCGAGCAGAGTCTCTGGGCAACTCAGTGGGCTACCAGATCCGCCTGGAGAGTGTCAGGGTATGGGCACTTTCAACATGTACATCTAGCATAGAGTATTTTAAGCTACCGGCGTTTATTTACTATGTCTAATTAACGCTGAGTTGTACACAACATTAAATGTCAATGACAGTTTTGGAGCATTCTGAAATTTGAAGTAACATCTTAGTACATGTAGCTGAGCTTCATGTATAAATAATTATTTGTGCTTTTCTTATCACTCAGTACTACTTTCTTTCAGACATCTGCCACCAGACTGCTATACTGCACCACAGGTGTGTTACTGAGGAGACTCGAGGGTGATGCAGACCTCAGAGGCATCACACACGTCATTGTGGATGAGGTGCATGAACGCACAGAGGAGAGGTGAGGTTGTGCAGATCACTCACATACAGTATCGTACAGAAAGTGTGTTCATGCTCATGTTCATTGTGCATTTTTAGCTCTTGCGTCACAGCCTAACAAATTTAGTCAGGCTCTTCTAAAACTGGCAAATATATAACGTGAATATTTACACACTTTTTTATGACTTGTTTAATACTCATAGTGACTTCCTGCTGTTGGTGCTCAAAGACCTGATTGTACAAAGACCAGACCTGAAGATCATTCTAATGAGTGCCACACTTAATGCCAACCTCTTCTCTGAGTATTTTTACGATTGTCCCACTATCCACATACCAGGTGATGCCATGAGATATCTGACATGTGATATCTGCTGCGTACACTACATAATATACTCATTACATATTATGTTGATATTTGTTCCCACTCTGTGAATTTCTCTTGTCCCAGGTCGTGCTTTTCCTGTTGACCAGTTTTTTCTTGAAGATGCCATTTCTAAAGCTGGGTAAGAACATTGATATTTGCCCCAGCAAATAATCTCTTTACTGATTTCTTTTTTTAGCTTATAAATGTGTCTGTGTCTCCTCATAGTTATCTTTCATTTATTTTCCTAGATATGTCATTGAGGATGGCAGCCCTTACATGCGTTTAGGGAAACAGAATTCATTTGCCACAAGTGGAAGAGGAAGCAAAGGAGAACCAAGGGATGTAGTAAGCGACTTAGGTGACGACATGTGGAACTTCACGTCTTTCTGCAAGAAGGACTTTGTCAAAGATTCCGTCCCAGACCAGCAGCTCAGCCTGCAGGAACTGACAGTCAGATACAAAGGTGAGTTGAGGACAAGTACTATAAACTAGTGATGGCAGAAACAAGGAGTTCCAAAGCTTTGAACCAGTTGAGCCAATTGCTTCGAAAAATGGTTTGCTGTTTTGAAACAGACATTTTTTTATTTAACCTTATTTTACCATGAAAAACTCACTGAGATTAAACATTTCTTTTACAAGAGTGGACAAGGCAAACAACACAAGTAAAAATGCTTGTTACAAGAAGTGTGTTTCACTAAATTGTGCGGCACCACATGAAAATACTCCCACTCAAGTGACGTGAATCGTTCTTTATCCCTCCATCTTCCAAATCAGTCTTTCCAGTTATCAAATCTATGTATATGTCTTAATTACAACCCACAAAAATCTAGTTTTCATTCTGTTAATGAGGCATTGCGGGGGATCTACAGGTAACCAGAAACACTGACTAAGGATCAGAGGCTCAAACTTACTGTATTTGATTATTATGTAGTGCAACTGTCAACTGACTCAGAATCAGTAATTGCAAATGCTCAGTCTACTGTTCAGGATTCATCATGAGGTCATCCCCCTAGCAGTGAAACTACAGAATTTTCAGTATCAGAATCAGAATCTGCTTTATTGGCTAGGTGTATCGAACACACAAGGAATTTGACTCTGGTACATTTGCTCTCAATGTGTATGTACATATCCCCATGCAAGGGGCAAGTAAACAGTAAACCAGCATAAGGCTGTGTAGTATAACAAAATTATATGCAGTATTAACAAGCAACAACCAGGACAAACGATGTAAAATAAGCAGTAGAGACAGGCAGTAAACAATGCAGACAGACAAGGAATGCTCATTGTGAAATGGGATAAGTAGGAATAAAAATACTTAAAACTAGTATGAATCTGTATAATCTGTACGAGGTATATTTACAGGTATTACACTGAGGGTTATTGTCCAGTCATACTGTTGTTGGTTAAGTGTTCATCAGAGAGATGGCCTGGGGGAACAAACTGTCCCTGTGCCTGGTTGTCTTGGTGCACAGTGACCTGTAACGCCGTCCAGAGGGGAGGAGGTCAACCAGATTGTGTCCAGGGTGTGAGGGGTCTGCAGTGATTCTCTCTGCCCTCCTTTTGACCCGTAAGGTGTACAGGTCCTCCATGGAGGGCAGGCTTGAAATTGGAAATGTTTCATGAAATGATGTGAAACAATCACATGACTTGGCCACTTTGATACAAGACTTGAAGCAGTGCTTCAAAACAGAAGTGTCGCAAGCGGTTCAAAGCATGTCAATATGCTGTTTTGAGTCCAACCATCACTACTGTAAACAGTGTTTTATAGGTGTAAGATACAGTACTGTATGTTTTATAGGTTCTTAAATTGTACCTCCTCATCCAAATTATGCTGCTGTCAATAAATGCTGAACTATTACTTTTTGTTTTGCTGTTGATGCAGATACTAACAAGTCTGTGCTGAAGACCATTGCAGCAATGGACCTTGATAAGATCAACATGGACCTGGTGGAGAGCCTCCTGGTTTGGATTGTAGATGGAAAACACAACTACCCTCCAGGTGATAATCATCCACATACTGTATACTCAGCCCTTTCGTGGTGAATCCTGAACCTGACTGTGTTGCTGTAATCATGTTGTTTCTGTGTCCAGGTGCCGTGCTGGTGTTTTTGCCAGGCTTGGCTGAGATCAAGATGCTCTATGAGCAGCTCCAGTGCAACAGAATGTTCAACAACAGGGGTGCAACCAGGTCTGTGTCTAAAGTAATGTGTGGTTTACAGCAACTACATTTCTTCATTGTTTGTATAGTATTCATAAAGGAAAACATTTTGTGGTGACTTTAGAAACAAAAAAATGTTTACGGGGATCTGTATGTAGACAAGGATCTGTATGTTGACAATGTACCTAGGTGAAATTATTTGTGATACAGGATTCTTGCATACAATATATCAGACATTGTACAAAATGCATATTGTGTGTCATATTGCCATGAAACTTTTCATCCTGTAGATACGGTTGAAAATGAACACTAGCTGCTAGTCAGTTGCTATCTAATACAGATATACTTTCTCCATGTTAGGTGTGCTGTATACCCACTCCACTCAACCTTGTCCAATGAGGAGCAGCAGGCAGTTTTTAGTCATCCCCCAGAAGGTGTCACAAAGATCATCATCTCCACCAATATTGCAGAGACCTCAGTAACCATTGATGATGTGGTTTATGTCATTGATTCTGGCAAGATGAAGGAGAAAAGGTAATCTAACACTTTACAGTGAACAAATGTGGTAATTCTTTAGATATACCTAACTGTATGTAAGTTGCAACACTATTTGCACTAGTTGCAGCATTTTGTTGCCACACATGACCAAACATCATTTACTTAGCTTCAGATTTGACTTGGGATGTAGTGTGGTGATACTTATTGGGTTCAAGTCTATGTTTGCCAGTAATTCTTGGTTTATTTTCAGGTATGATGCACATAAGGGCATGGAGAGCCTGGAGGACTCATGGGTTTCTCGGGCCAACGCTCTGCAGAGGAAGGGTCGAGCAGGTCGCGTGGCCTCAGGAGTCTGCTTCCACCTCTTCACCAGCCACTGTTTCCAACACCAGCTCACTGAACAACAGCTGCCTGAGATCCAGAGAGTGCCCCTGGAGCAGCTGTGTCTCCGGTAGATCTATCGGGATGCTTTTTGTTGTTTCTGTAAATGCCAGTAGTAAAGGTTTATGCATGACATGGCTGATGGGATTTATGACTGAAAATGCCACCTGGGAAAAGTGGCCAGGACATTTTTTTGTTGGGCTTTGTCCAGTCTGCCTGGATTGTTAGTGTCTTCTTTCCTGTCAGGCCTGAAGCACCATGTCTGATTAAGGCCCATTCTAGCGTTTACACTTTTGCCTTTCTCCAACAGAGTCAAGATCCTGGATATGTTTGCAGAGCAGACTTTGGAGTTGGTCTTCTCTCGGCTCATTGAACCCCCAGCTACTGGAAGCTTGGATGCGGCCAAGCGGCGCCTGCAGGACCTGGGAGCTCTAACTGCCAATGAAAAGTTGAGCCCACTGGGCTACCACCTGGCCTGCCTGCCTGTCGATGTGCGCATTGGAAAGCTCATGCTGTTTGGTGCCATCTTCCGCTGCCTTGACCCAGCACTCACCATTGCTGCCAGCCTGGCCTTCAAATCACCATTTGTAAGAAATTACTGATTTTAGGGTCATTCTGTCATAGCCACATGTACATACACTATACAGTTGCTTAAGCAGATACTTCAGTTTTGTGGTAATTTTTTTTTAACAGAGAAGAATCCACGTGATTATTCACCAGAGTGTCTTATTCTACAGAAATACTTTCTATATTTGGTCCGGTTCTGTTTTCCAGGTATCTCCATGGGATAAGCGAGAGGAAGCCAACGAGAAGAAACTGGCCTTTGCTGTGGCCAACAGTGACCATCTGGCTTTGTTACAGGCATACAAGGTACTGACTGGGCTGGGCAAATGTACAATATATACAGTATACACTGATATGACTTTTAATTATAGTATATTTTTCAAATATTGAAACGATGTGATTGTTTGCTGCTCTCTTGCAGGGATGGTGCTCCGCTGCAAAGAATAACAAACAGGCCAGTTTCCTTTACTGCAGGGACAACTTTCTGTCTTGGCGAGGCTTACAGGTGAGGCGGTGTTGTTGAAGGAAATTCTTTGTCTTCTACAATTGTGTAATGCTGGTTTTGTACAGTTCTTCAGCAGCAGGCCAGGCTGTAGAGCAGTGTTTATTTCACTGTAGACCTTCCTTTTTTCTTTTGAATTTACCACTTTGTGCAGGTATTAGTAAAATCAAAACCTGCACAAAGTGGAATAGCTTTGTAATTTCAAGCTTTCGTTGAATCAATACTTCAGGTGGATGGTGTGCATGTTCTGTTTTCCCCAAGTCATACATAAATGTTTTGTGTTGTGTTATGACCTGTGCAGGAGATCGCCAGTCTGAAGCGGCAGTTTGCTGAGCTGTTGTCTGACATTGGCTTCATCAAAGAAGGACTGAGGGCCAGGATTATAGAGCGCATGTGCTCTAAGGGCACTGATGGTGTTCTAGAGGCTACTGGTCCTGAGGTCACACACACACACACACACACACACACACACACACACACACACACACACACATTATAGCACTTATCAGCACTTTAGAGACGATAATCCTACTGTATAAATTGTCTCACTTTTAAATAAGACTACGTAGATTGAGTCAATATAAAATCTGTCTAACCTTAGTCTCAATGTAAATGGTATGTTTCTTAAAAAATATGGTATTTTGCTTTACATATTGTAATAAACAGATACTATATAACCCCTTCAATTCCTTTTCAGGCTAACCTGAACTCAGAAAACATCCGACTGATGTCTGCCATGCTCTGTGCTGCACTCTATCCCAATGTGGTTCAGGTACATGTCTGTGCAGCAGTTGTTGGAAAAGGAAACTTACAGTGCCTTGCGAAAGTATTCGGCCCCCTTGAGCTTTGCGACCTTTTGCCACATTTCAGGCTTCAAACATAAAGATATAAAACTGTAATTTTTTGTGAAGAATCAACAACAAGTGGGACACAATCACGAAGTGGAACGAAATTTATTGAATATTTCAAACTTTTTTAACAAATAAAAAACTGAAAAATTGGGCGTGCAAAATTATTCAGCCCCCTTAAGTTAATACTTTGTAGCGCCACCTTTTGCTGCGATTACAGCTGTAAGTCGCTTGGGGTATGTCTCTATCAGTTTTGCACATCGAGAGACTGAAATATTTGCCCATTCCTCCTTGCAAAACAGCTCAAGCTCAGTGAGGTTGGATGGAGAGCATTTGTGAACAGCAGTTTTCAGTTCTTTCCACAGATTCTCAATTGGATTCAGGTCTGGACTTTGACTTGGCCATTCTAACACCTGGATATGTTTAGTTTTGAACCATTCCATTGTAGATTTTGCTTTATGTTTTGAATCATTGTCTTGTTGGAAGACAAATCTCCATCCCAGTCTCAGGTCTTTTGCAGACTCCATCAGGTTTCCTTCCAGAATGGTCCTGTATTTGGCTCCATCCATCTTCCCATCAATTTTAACCATCTTCCCGGTCCCTGCTGAAGAAAAGCAGGCCCAAACCAGGATGCTGCCACCACCATGTTTGACAGTGGGGATGGTGTGTTCAGGGTGATGAGCTGTGTTGCTTTTACGCCAAACATAACGTTTTGCATTGTTGCCAAAAAGTTCAATTTTGGTTTCATCTGACCAGAGCACCTTCTTCCACATGTTTGGTGTGTCTCCCAGGTGGCTTGTGGCAAACTTTAAACAACACTTTTTATGGATATCTTTAAGAAATGGCTTTCTTCTTGCCACTCTTCCATAAAGGCCAGATTTGTGCAGTATACGACTGATTGTTGTCCTATGGACAGAGTCTCCCACCTCAGCTGTAGATCTCTGCAGTTCATCCAGAGTGATCATGGGCCTCTTGGCTGCATCTCTGATCAGTCTTCTCCTTGTATGAGCTGAAAGTTTAGAGGGACGGCCAGGTCTTGGTAGATTTGCAGTGGTCTGATACTCCTTCCATTTCAATATTATCGCTTGCACAGTGCTCCTTGGGATGTTTAAAGCTTGGGAAATCTTTTTGTATCCAAATCCGGCTTTAAACTTCTCCACAACAGTATCTCGGACCTGCCTGGTGTGTTCCTTGTTCTTCATGATGCTCTCTGCGCTTTAAACAGACCTCTGAGACTATCACAGTGCAGGTGCATTTATACGGAGACTTGATTACACACAGGTGGATTCTATTTATCATCATTAGTCATTTAGGTCAACATTGGATCATTCAGAGATCCTCACTGAACTTCTGGAGAGAGTTTGCTGCACTGAAAGTAAAGGGGCTGAATAATTTTGCACGCCCAATTATTCAGTTTTTTATTTGCAGTAAGCATAAATCAGTCTGTGGCTGCTCTCTTTACTTACAAGCTTGTTTATGCTCCAGGTACATGCTCCTCAGGGAAATTACAAGATGACCAGCAAAGGAGTGATGCAGATGCAACCCAAAGCCAACGAGCTCCGCTTCATGACCAAAAATGATGGCTGTGTCCATGTGCACCCCTCGTCTGTCAACTACACGGTGAGAAGTACGGAAAATTTGCCATTGTATTTAACAGCTTGTTAGAGAGACAAGCTTTGTGACTCTCTTCTGTCTTCCAGGTTCGTCACTACAACAGCCCTTACCTGGTTTACCATGAGAAGGTGAAAACAAGTCGTGTCTTTATCAGGGACTGCAGCATGGTGTCTGTCTACGCACTGGTGCTGTTTGGAGGCGGTCAGGTCAGCGTGGAACTGCACAAAGGAGAGTTTGTCATCTCACTGGATGATGGTTGGATCCAGTTTGCTGCTGCTTCTCATCAGGTCAGAAATAGGAAATGACAGAGATTTTATAGTTTAGAAGTACATTAACACAACTGTTTGAAATATATTTTCACATATTCTTAAAGGGTCCATTGAAATATCTTTAAATTTAAAATCAGTAACAGTGATGTTTTGATAAGTACCGTATGCATGGTTCATACCTAAATCTTACAAGCTCTTTGTAAAGTTGTTTAATGTGCTTTAACAATTAGAGGTTTTTACAGGGACTCCAAAGAAATAGTGCCCCACAATCACGTTGTCACTTAAGTCATAGTAGTAAGCATAACCACAATCAAAACAGAATTACCTAAAAATTTTTGTACTGTTAAGTAGTCATAGTAATAAAACGGAAAGGTTAGCTAGAAAAAACAAAACAAAACTAAAATGCCTATACCACATAAACGCAACATGGTCCACCACCCACCTGGGGACCTTTTGCGGCATGTCATACATTTCTTTCTCTGCCCTTGTTTCTTTCTACACTGTGAGCTACCAAACAAAGGCAAAATGCCAAAAAATGTATTTATATTAGTTATATTTTCATCAATGATTATTTAAGCTGGTAAAAAAATAGACACAAATGAGCTTGGCTCTGTGTATTTATGTTTTTGTGTGTGTGTGTATGTCCCAGGTGGCTGAGCTGGTGAAGGAGCTGCGCTGGGAGCTGGACGAGCTGCTGGAAGATAAAATCAGGAACCCGAGTGTGGACCTGTGCAGCTGCCCCCGCGGCTCCCGTATCATCCACATGATAGTCCACCTCATCTCTACACAGTAGCTCTGCTACTGGACAAATCTTTTTGAGCCTTTTTGTCACTCCCAAGGGCTTACATGCATGTCTCTCTGCTCCTACAGCACTGCTACATAGTATTATCTTATTCCACTAATTAGGAAAATCAGGGTGAACCATCTGAAAGCTAGTAGAAGTGTGTATTTCTTAAGACAGATGAGCAGGTCAGATACTGGACTTAATGTGATATTGTGTTTTAAAGCAAAATTTGCCTTTGAATAGAGAAAATATGCAGTAAATTGGGACAGAACTAATTGTTTAATTTGATTACAGGTATATTGTAATTTGTATAAAGTGTATTTTGTGTTGTGAGTGAAGCTCATAACTGCCTTAGGTCCATATTGGATTTCTTACGCTCACAGCAATCGCATACTTGTTAAGGTTGTGGATAATTATTTATAAATGCATGACTGAGAGATGCAAGAGCTTCTGCATGGTGCTCAGTTGTTCACATTTACTGAATGTACTTAAATGTTACAGTGATGTCAGGACACCCCTTTCACAATGTGAACACAAGGGCTTTTAAAATCATGAGAATTTGTTTGGAGTTGCCAAAAAACATGAAAGTTAATCATCTTAAAAAATAATGAACTCCACTACACTAAAAATACGATGGGTGCTACAGAATTTTTTTGCACTAAGTTCCTGTTACGTTTTGTGTTATATGCCTGAGATGCAACAAAATAATTTACAGCCCTTTGGCACAGGCCAACCCTTTCATTTGTGTGAGTCTGTTCTGTCTCCAAGACAACAGAACATAAACAAATGGGGCATCATTGTCTGTTAAACTATTCGGTTGCATTTTACAACAGCGCCAAGTCCAGGACCGGTAAGATATACATGTATATCTTTAATTTGTGCTCAAGCTGCTGTGAGAAATAACTATGTAGCCATTAACACATTTTGTTCATCTGAAAATAGTCCACTGTAGCATTCTACATTATTTGTATCTTATTTTACAGATGGATGATTTGTCATCACATTGGATGTGACCTTGAAGTTTTTTGACAATGGTAAAATATATTTAACATTTAATTTTGCTGTTAAAAACTCTCTGTAATATGAATAGTGTAGAGGAACCAAGCCAAAACTGAATAAACCATTTGTTTTTCCCCCTCCTCAAAGCCTACCAAATCCAAGAAATTGAAATCCAACAGACCCACTGGGAGTTCAAAAACACCCAAGAACAGATCAAGTGCTAAATCCACCAAGAAAGAGGTGGACATCCTCAGTCCAGCTGCCATGGAGAATGTCTACTACATTTCTCATAATGCAGTAGAATGTCTGGAGTGCAGAGGCTTTGGCTGGCCAAATGCAAATAAAAAGAAAAAGAAGGGCACAAAACAGAAGAAAAAGTAGACCATATTTTCCAAATCTAATTGGGTTAGGGATGGTTCCATTTAAATGCAAAGACTATAAAGTATTATCAGCAAATCTATTGAAAGCCAAATGATTAACAATTGTGTTTATTACTATCACAAAAGGTTTGGCAGCTTTTTTGGACAGTTGGGAACCTTCTTAAAGAAAATATCAAAAATTGGTAGAATACAACATATCAATGCAAATGAATGCTGTTTCAGTCATTTTAGATAACATTATGTACACCTAATGGGGAGATACATGGAGGTCATGTATATACCATCACAGTGCATGATAGAGAAGGCTAGCTCGCAGTGCATAAAGTGATCCTACTTGTTAGCTGTAATGTTAATTAAATCCAGTTTATATATATATATATATATGTATATATGTAGCTATATATTTTAATTATTTATAAATCAAATGTACACTCGTAACATAACCCAGCAAAACAAATAGTTTCTCTGCACACTCCATTGTCTTCTGCCAGCAACACAGTCCCATTTTGTTCACTCTGGTGGCTTCTTTTTGGCCTCCACATCTTTTTTAAAAGCTTCAATTTTCTTGGCTATGTTGGGAACCTAGAAGGGCAAAAGCAGTACACTGATTAAAATCAGATACATGTTCAGACGTCAATTTATTAGATACACCTTGTTGGAAGTAATTCAACAGTTTTGCAATAAATCCTACCTTTGTGATCACTTTAATGTTAAGTTTTTGTTCAAAATATTTTAGAGAAGTATTGATAATATTACATCCACCCAATTTATACAGGGATAGCCTAACTAAGGATCATAAAGTTGAATCAACATCTCCACAAGTTTCAACAAAACCTAAATATTAAAACCTTCAACAGGTAAGTTTTGTCAGAGGTCTGCTGTAGACTGCGTGCGTTTTAAGTTGGTGTACGTAATATGGCACTCATGCGGGCGTCATCAGGGAAATTAAGAGCTCATACAGCCCTTGGGAGAATTGAATCAGTCTAAGGAGCACATAACATCACTAATGCTTTTAATTCAGTTTTGAAAGTCTATAACACAAGAGAAGAAATCCGACAAACCCACATCATAATTTTGAGCGAGGTACATCCCCACAACATTTCCCAAGGTGAAACCAGCCTGGAACACAAACAAAACATGTGAAACAGTTAACTTTGCTAGCTAAGACGTATCTGATCTAATGTTAGCTTGAGTTTACTTGAAGCAATATCTGCTAATATTTTCACGTATATGAGTTTTACGTAGGAGTATGTTTAACTATTAGCTATGTTAAAATTCTTTGTTGACTGGTGATTGTAAAAGTAGGCTATAGGTTATGTCTACCGACAGCCGGTTAACAGCTAATTATGCTAATGTATTAGTTCGGCTAGCTTCGCTGGCATCCTGACAAACGTCAATATCATGCATAATTATGTCAGTTTAACTCACCAGGAACTGTAGCATTGTAAAATGGCAATGCCACTATAGGGCTGTCGACAGCAAACCAATGTAATGACTAAAAAACAGGTACTAAATTCAAAGTTTCAGTGGATATTAACCAGCCTGCTCGACTAACGAAGTAATCATCAACAATGCGAGTACGCATGCGCGAGAAATTAGGCTATTGGGCAGTTCCTTTTTATTGTAGTCTTTTCCTCCGTCCAAGCTGTAAATGTTCCCATCTGAAGAACTACATTCCCCACTACCGCTCAAAATTTCTCGCCAATCTAGTAGGTGCTGTTGCAATGGTGTCGTCGGTGGGACATTGAATGACTTTGACTTGCGAAAATATCTGTTAAATTGAATTTATTCACAAGCCGCGAGCATGGAGGCTCTTATCCCCGTTATAAACAAGCTTCAGGATGTGTTCAACACTGTGGGTGCGGATATTATACAGCTGCCACAGATAGCAGTAGTAGGAACTCAGGTAAAATTCTCGTGTGTTCTTGGTGATGTACGTTGGTGGCAGTTATGCTAACCAGATAACCTTGCTTTAACGATGCATTAGTAAAAGGTACTTGCCACAAAGAATTTGCTACAGTACTACATATCTAGATGCCAAAACGAATTGAGGCTACACAAAAGCGATTGTAGACCCAGGGAATGCTAAAACGGCAAACCTCATCTGCAAAGTCTGCACTGGCAGTGAAATATATTTTGAACGGAGTCAAGGCTCGTGATAAAAATCGTGCAGTTAGCTCTCCTGGCTCTAGCCCATATCTAACATGGTTCCATATCGGGATATAGTGTCTCAAATCTAAAAGTAATATTAGATACTGTCCCATGTTGATTCTGCATCCTACTTCTGTGTCTCTAGAGCAGTGGGAAGAGCTCTGTGCTGGAGAGTCTGGTGGGCAGGGACCTGCTGCCCCGTGGGACTGGCATTGTAACCAGGCGACCTCTCATCCTCCAGCTGGTCTATGTAGATCCTGCAGATGCCAGGACAAAGGATGACAGTGGTAGGCACCAACATCTCTCTGATTTCAGCAGGGTTTCAGCAGAAGGACTTCACCAAGGACAGTTTTGCCTCAGTCTTTTGTATGACATTTTGGGATGCTTGCATACACAGCAGTTCAGCAGTTTTCATGTTTACACTTGCACAGTATTTAGGCTACTATACATATACATTGAGGGAACATGCCAATACATTTTAATGTCCAGTATGAAAAAGAAGTCGTCATGTATTTTCCTGGTGCTCAGTGTATAAACACCAGTTTTAAAGTTCTGTCTCTATTACTGTTTTTCTAATTATTTACAGATGCCAGAGTGTGGATAAAGCACTGAGATTCACAAAGGTGTGTGGTGGCTAGGACCTGATGTGAGCTAAATTAATTCAGACAAATCATTCCAATTACAATGATAATTTAATATTACAATAATTCAAGGCAGTTCAATAGTTTGGCAGACAATTCAACAGACTAAGAGATAGGGGACAGAGTCACCATTCCTGCAGGAAATAAATGCAGTATTAGACAAGAAGATTGTTACAGAGTCAGTCAGTCTTTTTTAGGTCATAAGCACAGTCAAGTCCGCCACGTGCCCCCGGCCAGGGTCTCACTGTCTGTCCTTCCGCATGCAGACACACTACACTACTGCAGCAGCTTACTGCCTCCTTTTGTACACAGTTCACTTTTGGTTCCCCCGCCAGTTCCCAAACCTAGTTAACAGGTCATCTCCAGATCAGGATGACCCAGTGGGTTAAACAAACAGGCCATGAACCCAAAATATTTTTACTTCAGCACACACAAACTATTTACACAGTGAGCTGACATAGTACAGAGGGCTTGCAGAAATGAGTTATTAATTGACCACTGCATATAGTAACTACATGTAATCTACACACTCTCACTGTAATCTCTTACATATTGCATATTAACTGTAGCTTGTTTGTTTTAACCACTACAGGTGCATTGTACGTTTAAATAACCCAAATTTGCTTCTTAGTTTTGCACCCTCTTTCTGAAAGCCGCACCTGTAATTCCAGCTGCTTTATTCATCAGACCAACAACTGTTGTCATGCATTGATCCTTTATGTTACAGATGTGCTTACTTAGTCTTCTGCACTTTGAAGCTGTAAATAAGTGATACCTGCATTTGCCTACTTTGATAATGCGAAGCTCTACCCCATAATGTTTTATTATGTTTCATAGGCAGAGACTGTGAAGGATGGGGCAAGTTTCTACACACCAAAAACAAGGTACACATTTGTTTGACAAACATTTAAACAGTGCTTTTATCTTTGCTAGTCTTTATGAATTTTTCTTTTTCCTTTCTCAGATCTACACAGATTTTGATGAAATCAGACAAGAAATTGAAAATGAAACGGAGCGAGTATCGGGGAATAATAAGGTGACGTGGATGAAGGAGGAAAAATTCATTCTTTGTTTTTTCTAATCAATTCCTACCAGTTTCTACCTTATGTACTGTAAAATTAGGAACTTAAAATGATTGGGTTTCAACCAAGGCAGTGCTTTTGATGGGCAACAAAAACAAACAAGTAGAAGATTCATTTTTCTTGCTATCTGGTATGATCACACAAGTTGACTTACTTATAAAACACAATCACAATCAGTTAAACATTTTCAAACCAAAGGAATATGATGAATCTGTGTTAAATATAAATTATTAAAAATATATATGATGTGTATGTGTGTGTGTGTGTGTGTGAGAGAGAGAGAGACAGATAGGATTGCTAGTATCTGAAGTAATGAGAAGTTGTTAAAACCTCAAATGTCAAGCAAAACCTTAAAGACAACTACTACTTAACAGCCGGTGATAAGAGGCTGATACATTAGAAGTATATTCATTCTGTTGCCAGTTAGAAAACTCGGTGCATATTTGGGGCTATCTGCAGACGATGGATTAGTGACCAACACATACAGTATGTACAGAGATTTCAGATGATCCAGTGAGATGAAAGCATACATCTTTTTTTCTTTTAATAATTCTTGGAATCTAAATAAAGGCTTGAGTTGGGATATTGCTCTGAGGTATGATAGAATTTCATGACAGAGCTCTAATATATGAGACCACAGTGGAAAATCACAACATTTTTGGCATCTAGATTTGGGCTACTGGGACCCAGGGGGTTTGGACATGCTTCTAGAAATAGGGAAATGGAAGAATCCAGCCTTCGCCTTATTTAACTTTGAGTTATTTACATACGCACGTTTGTTTGAGCAACATGTATGAGCGTTTTACAGTGGGGATGTCCTCAGCATAACCTTATCAGAAGCTCTAAGCATGCCAGTTGTCAGTAAGGACAGAGACCATTTCCTTAAACTGGGCTGACGTGATACCAACATTCAAAAACTTCTCTCTGTGGGCAAAAGTTCCAACACCAGTGTCCAGTCACTAAGTCACACTTTTTTCTTGGCCTGTACATTCCTTTTTGATAGACCTGCTCTTACTAGCCTGTGACCAAGCAATAATTTGTCCTGCTAAATTGCAGTGATATGAAGTAGCTGATACTCTCTCTGTGTTAGCTACCTACCTGAGAGTTACAGCACTACTAGTAGGCCCCAGCCCTTCTCTAACCACATCAGGTTAGCCGCAGCAAACATATAGCTCAATTTCATACCTCTCCTGTAAATGCATAGCAGTTTTTAAGTTATTTCCAGAATCTTCAGTGAAACTTCTAAAGATCTGAATTAAAATTCTAGCTGCTGTACAGTAAAAAAAAAAAAAAAAAAAACTTTTTAAACCATTTTATAAATTGTAGGTTCTCTTCTATATCCAAATATGATAGCCAGTGGCCACCTGGATAGGAAATACTGGGTTTCAGTGAGAAATGATTTAAATATATTTTTTTATTTTATTTTTTTTTATCCATATGTTCAGAAGAGTCTTTGAAAACTTCAGAAATGCCTCCAGAATATCTTTTCAGATATTTATTTCTCTGAGAAAGAAACACTTGGAAAACTAATGAGATGCAAAATCAGGGGTGAGTGGACAGTGCTTGTGATAGCTATTTGGTATGAACAGTTCTGACCTACGTTCACCATACTGAACTGCATAACAAGGGAAAGTGGACTTCTCATTTCATCATAACCGATCATATTAAAAATATAATCTGTCTATTGTGGACAGGGCATACAAAGAATGGAAATGTTACTTATATTTATAAAAAAAAAAGACAAGGTGGGCTGCCAAAATGCAGTTTTTAAAATTTTTTTGTAACATGTTGTGCACCTGTCCTCTAAGTTTTTTTTTAAAACTGTCCTAAGTTCATCAGTACACACTACCAGTCTTTTCTGTTCTTGTCCCTCTGCAGGGGATCAGCGATGAACCCATCCATCTGAGAATATTTTCTCCCCACATTGTCAACCTCACACTAGTGGATCTGCCAGGAATCACTAAGGTACTGCATACTGTACTTAATACTTCTACATCCCCAAGACAAGCTTCGTTCATCTGGTGCCCCTCGAGAAATCTGCTACACAGCACTTAGTTTTTAAAAAGATACAACCTTTGCACATACAATAAACCATGTACTGTTAAAACCAAAGCGTAATGCAGGCTTTGTTTCCAGATTCATTAATTTCTCCCCTCTGGTTAACCATATGTTAAATTGAGAAATCCCCCTGCTGTAGTGTCTAATGAATAAAATTGAAACATGCTGAATTTTTTCTTTAATTGGTATCGTTGCCTTTAGGTGCCTGTGGGTGATCAGCCTAAGGACATTGAACTTCAGATAAGAGCTTTAATCCTGAAATACATCTCCAACCCCAACTGCATCATCCTGGCTGTCACCGCTGCCAACACAGACATGGCCACCTCGGAGGCCCTCAAGGTGGCCAGGGAGGTCGACCCTGACGGTAAGAAAAACTGAAAGGAAGACGTTAATAATAAATGGTAAAGAGATGATTATTAGTAACAGTGTTTGTGATATTGACCTTTTATGATTGAATGTGACTCACCAGGCAGGAGGACACTGGCTGTGGTGACCAAGCTGGATCTGATGGATGCTGGTACTGACGCTATGGATGTGCTGTTGGGCAGAGTTATACCTGTCAAACTGGGTCTCATTGGAGTAGTCAACAGGTCTGAGCAAAATTGTGTTTACTGTATTGAATACATTGTGAAGTGATCCATCACTCATAACAGATGAGTGTGTAATATAGACATGAGAGGCTCAGTTGAAATGTAGAGAAGAGATGAGTGATCCTAATACATTTTTAATGCTAGCATTAAAGTCAGATGTATCTGTCTATTGTTTATCCTTTATCACTGTAAGCACATTACGGGATATTTTTAATATGATCGGTTATGATGAAATGAGAAGTCCACTTTCCCTTGTTATGCAGTTCAGTATGGTGAACGTAGGTCAGAACTGTTCATACCAAATAGCTATCACAATATATAAACAATGTAAGATGGTCTTCTTTAAATAATGGCATTTGTTTATTTTTATTGTACAGACTGCCCAGCACTAAGTATCAGTGTTATTTTGCTGAATCTGAACTTGTAGGAGTCAGTTGGACATCAACAATAAAAAGTCTGTGGCTGATGCGGTTCGGGATGAACATGCCTTCCTGCAGAAGAAATATCCATCTCTTGCCAACAGAAATGGAACTAAATACCTGGCCAGGACCCTTAACAGGTAAATGTAATTATAGCGGATGCAGAAAAACCAGAAAAGTCAAATGAAAGTAATGGAATGAAGGCTTAAAAAATGACAATGAAAAAAAGCCAACATTTTCAATGTATTTGTGATTCTGCTAATTTATTTCATTATTACTTTGACCCATCCAGAATCTTTGATAGTAAATTTTAGAAGAGGGCTTTGATCAAGTTGGTTCAAGCATATTAACTGCTTTATTATGATAATGTCATTTTAGGTGAAAAATGTGAATAAAACGGTTATTTTTTCCAGAGCAGTGATCGTAGAAAATGTGAGGTGTAACATAGCTATTCAGGTGTGGTGGGACACATTACCTTATGTTAGAATCAGTATGTTGATTGTTAGAAGCAGTCCTGGCAGTAATCAGTCATAAGAGAAATTGCTATTGTAATTTAGACAAGGGGCATTCATCTTGACTAGACACAGCTCCGAATATAATCTTACATAATCTGCATAAACCTGAACCCTCTGCCCTTTGCTATCATTATGTCAGGTTACTGATGCATCACATCCGGGACTGTCTCCCTGAGCTGAAGACGCGGATCAATGTCTTGGCAGCCCAGTACCAGTCCCTGCTCAGCAGTTATGGAGAACCTGTCGAAGACCAAAGTGCCACCTTGCTCCAGCTCATCACCAAGTTTGCAACAGAGTACTGCAATACCATAGAGGGTACAGCCAAATACATCGAGACAGCAGAACTGTGAGTACCAGTGCCTCCCCTCTGCTCGGCCACATGGTGATGCTGTTGATCCAGCACAGTGAAAATGATCAAAACAACTGCACTAGTTTCATCAGTTTATATGATACAAATTGTAAGTTGAGGCATGCAGGGCCCCTGTGAAGGAAGAGCTGACAGGAGAGGAGGCCAAAGGGTTCACATCACAGTTCATCTCCCTGTTGCTATTTTTCAGCTGTGGTGGAGCCAGGATTTGTTACATATTCCATGAGACTTTTGGCAGAACACTGGAGTCTGTGGATCCTCTAGGAGGACTCAGCACCATAGATATCCTAACAGCCATAAGGAATGCAACAGTGAGTGCTGCTGGATTTTCTCATAAATGTGACGCCTCAGTTTCTCCTCTCATCGTTAGTTTAGTTTGGACTGTAAAACAACAAAAACATGACTTTTTCTACAAGATACATTGTGTTGCTTTTGCTGCCCTGGTTAACTGCTAACCTGTAGCTCCCTCCCCACTTCAGGGGCCCCGCCCATCCCTGTTTGTGCCTGAGGTTTCCTTTGAGCTGTTAGTGAAGAAGCAGGTGAAACGCCTGGAGGAGCCCAGTCTGCGCTGTGTGGAGCTGGTCCATGAGGAGATGCAGAGGATCATCCAGCACTGCAGCAACTATAGCACACAGGTAGTCATCTCTTCCATGTATTTATATTTTTCTCTCACACAGATATTCACATTCCTTTTGTTTTACAGGAACTACAGAGATTCCCTAAGCTACATGAGGCTATTGTGGAAGTGGTCACCTCCCTACTGAGGAAGAGACTCCCGATCACCAATGAGATGGTACTAACACACATTTGTTTCTTTTTGAGCATATACCTTCATGACCTGCAGCCACTTGTTTTAATAAACTCAATCTGAACACTCAGTTGATGACCAAGTTTGTCCTCTCATTTCATTGTAGGTCCATAACTTGGTTGCGATTGAGCTGGCCTATATCAACACCAAGCATCCAGACTTTGCAGATGCCTGTGGAGTAATGAATAACAATATAGAGGTTTGTACTCACAGCAAAATATCCCAAAATATTGTAATATGTTTTCATGACAGAAAAAACAGAGAGCATGCAAACCTGATATGGCTTATTTGTACAAATAAAAACTGAACAATTTTAAATCTTGAAAAAACTGAATTGTGAAATTTGAATGTTGAAATTTAAGCACACACATTTGTTTTGAGCAACCTGATCTGATGCTTTACAATAGATTTGACTACACCGATTATATTTTTGACATTTTCTATTTTAATTTTTGAAACAGAAAATAATAAAATTTTTGAAATTGCACCACATGAAATGACCGTCTGATTTTTAAAAAGGGTAATTCAACCAAATAAATTCAAATCAGGTAAAAATCTAATTTAAGATTTAAATTTTTATGACATTCCTTTCCTTCAGTAGAACGTCAGAACTTTTTAGGCGACTGAATTTTTTTTATTACTTAGAAATAATAGTGTTATCAGTCTGTTTAAAAATGGTGTCGGGCTTTATATACAGTGTCTATAAGTATTCACCCCCTTGGATGTTGTACACTTTTATTGGTTTTATAAATCAATCACGGTCAATATAATTTGGATTTTTTGACAAAAGAATTGCTAAATAACTCTTTAATGTCAAAGTGAAAACAGGTAATGTCAATTAAATAAAAAATATGTAATGGGAAATAAGTGATTGCATAAATATTCACCCTCTTCAAGTCAGTATTTAATAGATGCACCTTTGGCTGCAATCACAGTACCGAGTCTGTGTGGATAGGTCTAACTGAGGCTTGTACATACAGTATGGACACTGTACTTTTACTCCATTCTTCTTTGCAAAACTGCTCAAGCTCTGCCAGGTTGTGCGTGGAATCGGGCGTGAATAGCCCTTTTCCAGTCCAGCCACAAATTCTCTATTGGATTGAGGTCTGGGCTTTGACTCGGCCTCTCCAGAACACTCACCTTGTTGTCTTTAAACCATTTGTGTAGTTTTCACTGTGTGCTTTGGGTCATTGACTTGCTGGAAAATAAAACTTCTTCAAAGCCATAGTTCTCTTGCAGTTTGAATAAGATTGTCCTCCAGGATTTGCCTATATTTTGCCGCATTCATTTTACCTTCTACCTTTACAAGCCTTCCAGGGCCGGCTGCAGAGAAGCATCCACACAGCACTTGACCATGGAGTCTCCCACATGCCTTTTGGTGAACTTTAGTCAATATTTAATATGAGTTGTCTTCAACAGTGGCTTTCTCTTTGCCACTCTCCCATAAAGCTTTGACTAGTGAAGAACCCAGACAACAGCTATATGCAGAGTCTCTTCTATCTCAGCTGCTGAAGCTTGTAACTCCTTTGAAGTCATTGGTGTCTTGGTGGCGTCTCTCATGAGTCACCTTCTTGCACGGTCACTCAGTTTGTGAGGGCGGCCTGATCCAGGCAGATTTAGACATGTGCCATATTCCTTTCATTTCTTGATGATGGATTTAACTGAACTCTGGGATATGTTTAGTGCCTTGGACATATTTTTGTATCCATCCCCTGACTTATACTTTTCAATAACCTTTTCTCTGAGTTGCTTGGAGTGTTCTTTTGTCTTTGTGGTGTAATGGTAGCCAGGAATACTGATTAACCAGTGACTGGACCTTCCAGACACAGGTGTCTTTATACTACAATCACTTGAGACACATTCACTGCACTCTGGTGATCCCCATTTCACTAATTGTGAGACTACTAGCACCAGTTGGCTGGACCTCTGTTGAATCAGGTCACCCCATTTTAAAGGGGGTGAATATTTATGCAATCACTTATCTTTATATCTACTTATAGGAGCAAAGGAGAAACAGGATGAGAGAGTTGCCCACTTCAGTGTCCAGGGATAAGGTAAGAGGTGCAGTGTTATCTTAAAATTAGGGCTACACGATTAATCATTTTGTGAGTGTGATTTAGATGCCTGTGCAATCTCAGTCTCATGTGACAATGATTCTGGTATGTTTGCATTAGCAGGGAAATCCCTTGCCTCAAACTAAGCACTCCCTTTTTCTCACTAAGTTGCATTAACCAATAACCACAACTAATAGCTGCTAAGTGATTTTATTTTTGCCTCAACTGCTATTTGGCACTAGGTGTACAGGGCAGGCCACGCAACCTTTGAAAAATAGTTGCACAAGTGCACAGAATATCTTTCACAATGTCAAACATGTTGGATTTGTTTTTGAATCAGTCTTCTCTTCCTTTCTACAGTTCATCACGTGATGTAACACATTCCTGCTAATGCAGCTTAGTGAGGACAAGGGGAGTGCTTGGTTTGATGCAAGGCATTTCCCTGCTAATGCAAACATGGCAGAATCATTGTCATATAAGATTGAGATTACACGGTGATCTAAATCACACTCGCATAACGATTTATCATGCAGCCCTACTTAAAATGATATAATAGTATCTCGTGTTCTCATGTTTGGTTGGAGTCTACAGTTCCCCCAGTATAAAGGGAACTTGTACAGTGTTAGCCACTCACAGCACCACAGGATGTGAACTAAATGCCTTGGATAGTTTCCATTGAGGAATGTAATCACACATCTCTTCTCCCCTTCTCAGAAAGTCTTATCTCCTCTGCTCAAATGAGTTTCAGCTGCCAGTCTTCTTTGCTGTCTCTCCACATTTCTTCTCAGCATTTTTCCCTCTTTCCATTTCTGCTCTCATATTCCTACTAGTCTGTTGCCAAAGGCCCAGCTGGCCCAGCTATGGTTTCTGGCGAGCCCCCTGCATCTGGAGCAGACATGGACGCTGCCAAGGTGGGCATGTACGCAACTTGGTGGCTCGGTCCCTGGTTGGCTGAAGGGCTGGTGGTGTGGTATGGATGGATGGGCATTGGCTGATGGCATGCACTCCGATCTTTGTCTGATGTTCTTGCTGATGCCATCAGTCTGTGTGAATTTGCACTAATAATTGTTGTTTTCTATGGAATCAGTTTTTTTTTTAATGTTGATCCACCTGTCACAGAAGATATCTCCTCCTCCTCCACCCTCTTCTCTCCTGTTCAAACCTTAGTCTGCCATAGATTTTGTAGTTAGGTGATAGGAAGAGTGTGGTAGTAGAAATCCTACCAACTGTGCACCACTGTCATGGATGTATCATGAGACTATTCATGGTGCATATGCCAAAAATATTTTTTTTCTTCCGGGTCTGCTTTCGCGTGGTGGGGTCCACTCAATGGGCCTACAAAACATATGCATTAGTGCCACTCACCTCTTACTGTTAAATTTTAAACCTCCATTGTTTAAACATTCATAATATGTGTGAAGTTGCATTAATGTTTTTAACAGATGCATTTTTTTAAGTAATTAACTTTTTAATTTCTAAAAAGCTTCAATCATTCATTAAAACAATTGAAATTCTTGGCAGCTGCAGGTCAACAGAGCAACTTGTTTGCAAAAGACGTTTAGTGTAAAAGACCCAGTGTGAAAGTATGGAAGTACTTCAAAAGATCAGGGAAAAAAGGTGGTTTGTACACTGTGCAAACCTTTGTTGGCATACTGCAGCAGCACTAGCACTATCTAGGAGCAAATCAAGAGAAAACACAAGCGGCCAGAAAAGGTAAAACCATCGTGCTGTCTGTTCATGTTAGAGCTTTTTAATATCTGGCTGCTAAACCTATTGCTAAAACCAGAAAGTCATCTGCCTGCTACCTTAGCATTTATATTGAAAACATGTTGGAGAAGGTGTTTAGGCTTAAAGCTACAGTATGTAACTTAATCACTAGCATGAAACTCCAAGTCAGCCCACTCTGCTCCGCCCAGCACTCCCTCTCCCTGCTTCATTATTATCTACTGCAGTCTGCAGCACTCTGCCCAGCTCTTCAGATATTTGTCATTATTACAGTAAATGAGAATGTAACAAAACTTACTGATTAAGCAGAAGTAATTGAAACTCTCTGGTTAGTGAGGTTAACCCTGCTCAAAATCTTTTAGAAGCTAATATCTCTGCACTGCTGCCAGTGTTGCTCAATGGGTCTGCATCAGAGAGGGTGTCAACAGCACCTCTCCACAGTAAGACAAGTTTTGAAACCTATTCCTTTTCCTACATGTGTGTGTACCATGTTCGTGCCTTCTCTTATACAGTTTGTGGTTCCTGCATGTTGTGTTTGTGGGAACTTTTTGCAGGAAAATTAATAATTTAGTTTAACTGAACAATCAGTAATAAGTATAGGCAGTGGCGAGAATGATTGTTTGGCTTAATTAGCGCATTGAGCAGCAGCCAATCAGGTGAGGAGACCAGTTGTTCTCAGGGCCAACACCTACTTTTCAAGTCAAGAGTCAAGAATCTTTATTGTCATTATGCATAGCACAACGAAATTTTTTCCGGCAGCTCTCGGTTTAAAAGACAGACATATTATTTACATAACACACAACTGTATAAGTCAATGTAAAAATATGGACAAATAAAAAGGGATGTATGGGACCTAATCAGGTCAGCAGCATGTTAGCAGCAAGAGTGTAGTAACATTATAAGGTGGAGCTCAGTTCAAATCTCAAGCTTTAGGAGGAGGTGTGGGGTCCAGTGTTCTGTGTCTGTCCATAGGGGGGAAGGTTGTGTGTGTGACTAGGGGTTGGGGAGGTGATTGATTTCACAGCTCTGGGGAAGAAGCTGTGTCTCAGTCTGTTTGTTTTAGTCTTTATATTCCTGTACCTTTTCCTGGAGGGAAGAGGCACAAACAGACTGTTGCCTGGGTGGGTGGGGTCTGCAGCAATCCGTCTGGATCCAGTCAGTGTATAGTGAGTCCAGATCCAGAGGACTCCCTACGATGCCCTGAGCTGTTCTCACCACCTGGGTCAAGTCCTTTCTGTCCTGTGCAGTGCAGTTCCCGTACCGCACTGAGACAGAGGATGCTCTCTACTGTCGCTCTGTAGAAGTTTTCGAGCAACTGAGCACGTTTCAGCTTCCTGAGCAAGAAAAGCCTTTGCTGGGCTTTCTTCACCAGGTAGGATGTGTTCAGAGACCAGGTCAGGTCAGATGCGATGTGGATACCCAGGTGCTTGATGTTATCTACTTGCTCCACCACCTCCCCGTGTATGAGAAGAGGAGCATGTATTGTCTTCCTGGACCTCCTGTAATCCACAATGACTTCCTTAGTCTAGGTTAGGTTGCTGTTCAGGACAAGATTGTTATCTGAACACCATCTTGTCAGGTGCTGGATCTCCTCTCTGTAGTGAGTCTCAGCATTGTCTGAGATGAGACCCACTACGGTGGTGTCGTCTGCAAATGTCACTACTGTGTTTGTGGCATGAATGGCATCACAGTCATGGGTAAACAGAGTGAAGAGAACTGGGCTGAGCACACAGCCCTGTGATGTGCCTGTGTTCAGGACCAGTGTGGATGATGTGCAGCTTCCGATTCTCACCACTTGAGGCCTGTTAGTGAGGAAGCCCTTAATCCAATGACACATCATTGCAGGCATTCCCAGATTGTACAGTTTCAGTGTCAGTTTGTCTGGGATTACAGCATTAAATGCTGCCGAACTGAAGTCAACAAACATCCTGACATAAGTGCTATAATGCTCCAGGTGGGACAGGGCTGTGTGTAGTGCTATTGAGACAGCATCCTCTGTTGATCGGTTCTCTCTGTAGGCGAACTGATGGCTGTCCAGACCAACAGGGATGACGTCCTTGATGTGCTTTAGAATGATCCTCTCAAAGCACTTCATAATTACTGGTGTTAGAGCAACAGGGCGGTAATCATTGAGGCAGGTGACAATGTCAAAGAAAACTCCTGCCAGTTGGTCAGCACATAGCTTCATAACCCGGCCTGACACCTTGTCTGGTCCTGCAGCTTTGTTGGTGTTGATCCTCCTCAGGGTGGAGCTCACCTGGTGTAGCTGCAGGACAAGAGGCTGGTGCTGTTCCTCGAGCTGAGGGAGTTGTACAGTTCCTCTGCTGCCAGGTGTATCGAAGCGTGCAAAGAAACTAAAGAGTGTCAGGGAGGGTGAGATTATGGCTGACCTGCTGGTTGTTGCCTAGTCTGTTATTGTTGTGATGCCTCTCCACATACTCTGTGTGTTGTTATTCATGAAGTGCCCCTCAATGCACTGTTTATACCTGCGTTTGGCCAGCTGCATGACCTTCTTTAGTTCTTTCCGGGCCCTGCTATAGGCCAGCCTGTCACCTGATCTGAAGGTAGTGTCCTGAGTTTTGAGCAGACGTGACACTGTACTGTCCAACTATGGTGTCTGGTTTGGAAAAACCCTGATGGACTTTGTAGGTAGGACAGCATCAGTACAGAACTGCACATAGTCCAGAAAAGCTGATGAATAAGCCTCCAAGTCTGAGCCCTCTTTGAATACCCCCCAATTAGTATGCTCAAAACAGTCCTGTAATGCTGAAGAAGCCTCCTCTGTCCTCACCTTAACTGTTTTGGTGATTGGTTTTCTCCTGCAGATCAGAGGTTTATATGCTGGGATCAGCTCCACAGAGATGTGATCTGGAGCTGCTATGGCCTTGTATGCTCCCGGGATGCTGCAATAAACCTGATCCAGGATGTTATTGGCCCTGGTTGGAAAATGGATGAATCTGTAGAATCTGGGAAACACTGCTTTAAGTTCCACATGGTTAAAGTCTCCAGCCACAATCACAGCTGCTTCTGGGTTTGCATTCATCTGCCTGCTGATCAGGCAGTACAGCTCCTCCAGCGCTAATTTAGCATTAGCTCGCGGTGGTATATAGATGGCTACAATCAGGATTGAGCAAATCTCTCTCAACATTTTAAAAGGTCTGCATTTCACTGCCAGATACAGTATTCAACATTTCCTGAAGAGATACTTAGACTTCTCTTTAATATTTTTGTTTCTGGAGTTATGTGATAATGTAATAGACTTGTCTGCATGCAGCTAAGAGTAAGTTTAGATTTGTTATAATGTAAGGTGAAGTGTTTTATCATTATCGAATCTCGACCCCTCCCTTGTTTCTAATTTTCGTCCTATTTCTTTGTTGCCCTTTGCATCTAAGGTAATGGAAAAGCTCATCCTCACCCAGCTTCAGTCCCACATAGATTGTCTTGGTGTGGCTGACAAATTTCAGTCTGGCTTTAAAGCCCGTCACAGCACGGAGTCTGCTCTGGTGAGGGTCCACAATGATATTACCACGGCCTTAGATGCAAAACGGTCTGTAATGCTGGTCCTCTTAGACTTGTCTGCAGCTTTTGATACTGTTGACCATGCAATCCTACTCTCCAAACTCGAACATCTTATCGGCCTGAGAGGTTCGGTTTTAAGATGGTTTAGCTCTTTTTTGACCAATAGAACTTTTTCCGTTGTCGTTGACAGCTTTGCCTCTGACACAGCTCCTCTCACTTCAGGTGTCCCCCAAGGCTCGACCCTGGCTCCGTTGTTTTTCTCCCTATACATGCTGCCTCTAGCACCTATTATAGCAAATCATAATGTTCACTTTCATTTTTATGACGATGATATACAGATTTATATACCATTAACACAGGATAATCAAAATCCACTTGCCTCTTTAAATGACTGCATCCGAGACATCAAGAAATGGTTAGCGCAGAATTTCCTGCATCTAAATGACAGTAAAACTGAGTATATGCTGATCAGCGGGACAGGGAAGATGGTTAAAATTGATGGGAAGATGGATGGAGCCAAATACAGGACCATTCTGGATGGAAACCTGATGGAGTCTGCAAAAGACCTGAGACTGGGACGGAGATTTGTCTTCCACCAAGACACTGATCCAAAACATAAAGCAAAATCTACAATGGAATGGTTCAAAACTAAACATATCCAGGTGTT